ACAGCCACGGGCGGCTTTCTGTTTCATAGGCGCTGCTCTCCCCTTTCTTACAGGCCAGTGTGCACAGTCAATTTCGGGCTTTTCTCGAAATGGGGCTCCCGATACCCCCCAAGACGCTCTGATGGACAGAGCTGTCTTCTCATCTCTTGCGGATGATAGGAACGCTGAGCCCTTCGGCTCCGATCCTCTTATGACCCGGAAGCCGGCGCCGGAGCAACGCTTCAGCGACGGGTCTTTGGGAGAGAAAACCCAAATTCTGGCTGTCTCCCAAGGTGATGATGCAACCCCTAAATCAGCTGTTCAAGGGCAGCATAGGGAGCTACATTCGAACTCCGGGTCACCCGTCGTTTCAGAAACTGCTACGCCCGCCGATGCTGCTTTTGTCGTTGCTTCTGGGTCCGCTACCTCTGCTACGTCCGCTACTCTTTCATCTGGCGTTTCCTCTGTTGATTCGGAAGGTGAGAAACCTCCTGTATCTAGGGATAGGACACAGGATGTCGGCGTGCATCGATTCGATGCTGTGGAGGAAACGAACAGCGGGCAGGGGTCGATGCTGGATGAGAACACAGAAGCGCCGGCAACCACACGCGGCCGACCCACTATGTGGACATGGAATCCGTTGAATCCAGGGGACGAACCAACGGAAGCGGAGGACCTGAAGCACGAGGGCGTGCCTGGGGACTTCGTTAGTATCCCAGTCCTCGATCAGGCTGCAGGGCACCAGTCTGAGCAGGCAGAGGATGTTGCAGCACCACAAACCGAAGCACCAGCAGAAGGATACGACAACAGTGCCACTTCATCGAATAGCGCGGCCGCTTCAGGCCAAGCAGCAGAGGAAGAGCAAGAAGACACCAACCAGAAAAGCAGCAGCGGCAAGTACCGTAGACAGTTTGAAAAGAGAGTTGCAGAAAGCAGAACAAGCGATCTTCCGGACGGAGAATCCTCTTCTGCTTCTTCAAAAGGCAGCGATCAGGCGAACGAGGAGTCCAACGCCGCGTCGCACGCTCCCGACGCCACCACCGTTGATGGGTCGATTTCGGAATCGGAGTCTGGGTCGATTGGACGGGGATCCGCCAAAGATAGTAGCAATCATAGCAGCACTGCTGACAACAGCAGTAATAGTAACAGAAACGGGAGCAGCAGCAGCAGCACAACTGAGCAGGACGTTCTTTCGCACGCCGGGCGGAGTGGCTTTGACTCCTATGATTACCACACTAGTGAGCCTCGAAGAGGTGATAAGGGACTCCCTAGTTTGTACCTTATCGTGCAAACCACTGAGACTAATTCTGTAGACTAACTGGGTAGAGTCTGGGGTTTAGGGTTTTGGGGTTGAGGTTTAACGTGCTGTATTCGGGACAGTAGGAACTACCTGAGGTGTTGCTACGTCTGGGGAGAGGGTGGAGTTATTACAAACTGCAGGACGTCGAATTTAGGGCTTAGCGTTCGTTGTGTTTAACAGGTGGGAGGGGCGTCGCGCGTTCAAAGCGTCGCTCGCGTTTCGCCAGCCCTTCAGAGCTAAGCGGGGAGTCGGACGACTCTCTTTATACTCCTTGGAGTCCAGTGACTGCTCGTACAGGTCGTTCGGCTTCGGGAGAGGCTGCGGTAAAAGAAGAAGAGACTGTCAGTCGTAAAACGGAGTGTGTGTATAAGGTGGCGGGTGTCCGTATTGACGCTTCCTACGTGGACACTGCATGTACGGGTACTATACATGTTGCATACCAAAGTGAGCAAGGAAAATTCATGCAGCGACGGCTGCTTCTGAGCAATACAACGGAGGACCCCGTCACTGTTGTAATGAAGACGGTCAACGCCAAGTTTAAAGCTTCCGTTCCCGCTTACAGTAGCTCCTACTATCGAAGCTTCTCGGGACCGTACTCGTTCTTGCAAGGGGAAGAAGGCGGCGACACAGATTCAACAACCACTGCAGCGGCAGAAGAAAAAGCAGCAGATTACATCAGATCTATGCTCAAGGAAATGCGCAGAGTGCGACGGAAACTCCCAAATCGCCCCTGTAAGTGTACAGAAAACAGAACAGCCAACCGGCTGCTTGTCAAGATGTGAGCAGTGGCTCTTAGCCGCCTAGAAACCCTAGACATGTAGCATTTGTTGCGGAACTAGGCACGACGGGGACGGGAGCTCTAGACATTTCGTAGTGACGATGTAGTCAACACAGAGCAGCTGGGCAGAAACAGTTTGATGAGGCGAGAAAATTGATGGAGGACGAAGGAATGCAGCAAGGCCAGTAGATGTAGGAAGAGCACACACTGCGAGCAAATGGATGGAGCACGAAGGAATACAACAAAACTTACATTCCTTGGAAGGGAGGCAGATAGAGACTATGGGGACAGGGGACTAAGCTGAAGTGCGCACTGCGTAGATTGGCGAAAGGGCGTCGGGGTGCTGAAAGCGTATTCTGTGCGCCTCTTTGGGTGTGTCTTTGTTGTTTGCTCATGCATGAACGCGCGGGCTGGATGGATGTTTAGTGGACTTAGTTGTTGGCTTTACGAGCCCTCTTGACGGCAGCAGCGAGGGGACAGATGCAGACGGGACAGCGGCCAGCTTCATGCAGACATCTGCGGGGGCGGCGCGGATAGCGCAGTCATGCGACGAGGTTCTTTCGGTGCTGGAGGACAGAGAAGGTTTCTCCTGCGAAATTCTTGAGGCAGTTGACGTCATCATTTTGCAGTTCCCACCATCTGCAGGTAATCTGACGATCTCCTCAGGGTTTAAGGCCTTAGGCGTTAGTGCGTAGCAGTTCGAGAGTAGGGCTTAGCGATTCACAAGGGCACTCAGAAAGGCCTTTTGGGTTCTGCGTGCATGCACCGACATATCTTATGGGGGAGAGTGTCAGTTCTAGGCAGCAGCGCTACAGTCATGGCATAGGGCTTAGGGCTGGGGGCTCGGGTGGGCATTAACATCGGCGAGTGGCTTCGAGGGCTTTGCTTTGTTCAGATTTGTCCGACAAGGGCGAAGTGGAGAAGGTGCTGTCCAAGTTGTTGTCCCTCGAGGGGAGGAATATTCTCTTTTTTGAAGTTGCAAAGCCGGTGGGGCCACGCTAGAGGTCAGGGTGTGGAAACCACCGTGTGGGGCTTATGTTTCATTGCTCTGGGGAAGACCTAGTATGGGGAGTGCTGTGGGCGTGGCGTGGGCTGCGTTTCTCCTCTGCACATGCTCCTTGCTTCGGTGTTATGTCGATAGTTTAGGGTTTAGGCTTTACAGATTAGTTTTCATGGTGTAAAACTGAGGGCGCATGCTGTAGATTTCTTCATCTCCCGATGTATGCAGGCTTCGCTCCAAATGGCGCCTGTGGGAGAAGGGCTTCCCGACCCGCCCAAGAGGTTGACGGAAAAATGGGCCTTTGTTCAGGCCAAGGAAGCCTTGCAAGAGCAGTGCTCAGCAGAGGCAACTGCCAAAACGCGCCTCCTGTCAGGTATGTAGGGTTTGATACATAGATCCCGTGTAGCATTTAGGCTTTGCAGTTCAGCGTTCAGTAGACTTGAAGTCCTAGACCTCAGCGTGCAGAGGATATAGCTGGAGGATAAGGAAAGTGCTCAGCTGAAGGGGAAGACGAGGAGAGGTGTCATCCTGCTCAGTCTACTATTTAATTTGCAGATCTAATCTATAATACGTACTAGGTTTATAGATATAATCTATAATACTTACTAGATTTTAGATATTCAGACAGGTTAAGTGGACCATTCATCCTCAGCGGATTTCAGAGGCTGTAGGCCGAACTCTTGTGGTGCTCGGCATGATAGTGCTAATGGCTATTTGTGATGGCGGCTCATTTGTCGTTTGGTTTCAATTCGTTTCGATCGTGTTCATGTGTTGTGGTGCCTTTCACTGCTGTGTTGCTATGTGTCTCCTGCGTTACTGTTATCTGCTGTGATTCTTTATTCACTTTTACCCATTCCTTTCTCTTGTGTTATCATCTTCAACTTCTTGCTGTTTAGTTTTGTTATTTCCTTTTGCACTCAATTTTATACGTTTGTTACTCGCGGGTACCACCTTTTGTAATATGGGCTATGGCGCTTACCGCCCTTCCCTGAGTCATCTGCCCGTTTTGCTTTCTGCTCTGTCGCTGTCAATCTGTAATTTTCAATTTCTTTCGAATGGTCCCTCGTGTATGTGTTGTGTGCAATGCAGAGGATGGCGACGCTGATTCCCCGGTGGCTGCTAACCTCCCTCAAGACCCTGATTTAGAAAAGCGTCTCTGGGGAATGTACAGCGCGCGCTGTGTGCACGCCTGGCTGCATGGAGAAAAAGGCCACAAGGAAGTTGTGGTGAGCGTAGGCTATGTCGTTTGCCATTCGCCCAGCCCCATTGGTTGCCCTGAAAAAACCTCTGGCCTTGCACTTCGAATGTAGAGAATAAGCGTACCCGCGACTGTTTGTCTCGCATTATCTGTTGCGCTTTACGTGCCCCTGCTTGCTTTCCTGGTGTTGTTCGATTGTTTGTGGTTTGGTGACTGTCCATCTCAAATCTGTATATGCAGTACACACACAGGTTTTGCTTGTCTCCTGAATCTGTAGTTTTTTCCCGTTGGCGTGTTTACTTGGATGGCTTTGCCTGTTCCCGTTGGGCTTGGCGGTGTATCGTCACAGCCTCACTGCTGCGTATATTTGTCTGCAAGCTTATGCGGCATTTTGCATGTTTATGTGTTGCTTATTTGCTAATGCACATTGTTCAGGTGGCGGTAATTGACTCAGGCGTGGCTAGCCATCCTGACTTAGACGAAAATATTTGGCACAATGCTGCCGAGTCAGCCGACGGAGGCGATGAGGACAGTAGGCGCTCACTTGGGTCTATCTAGTGTTGCATGCTATGGTTTTAGTTGTTGTTGCTTTTTAGTACTTCTCGTGAGTTGTATTTACCTTCGTTTTGGTGTCGGTTTCTATTACCACCTGGATGTGCTCGCGAGTGCAAAGGATAGTCCTATTCAGTGTTGTTGCCTTTCACTTCCGTTCATTGCCTTTGACTGCTCTCTCCTTAACATTGTTATTTATTACAACGGCCATTGCTTAACGGGAACTTCTCTGTACTAGCATCAGTATAAGTATTCTCACCTTTCCCTCCAATGGCCTGAGTACTGCTCCCGTTGTTGCCTGTGCCTTCATGACCACACCGGCTATGTTTGTTCGCATCTTGAAAATATAATTTTATAGTTGTTGATGAAGGGGGCGCCACCAGTTTGTTTTCTTCACAAGGACTTTTCACGTTTGGTTTGTTAATTTTACGTTTCTTGATTTCAGATAACGGATTCATAGACGACACGGACGGCTGGAATTTTGCAGATGATTCGAACCATGTCGTCGATACAAACGGACACGGCACCCACGTGGCAGGTCAGCGGCCACACCTCTCCATCACAGATGGATTGGCACATTAGGTCAACAAGAGGAGCCTTAGCTGTAGATTCACCTCGTCATTAGTGCTATACTGACAAGGCAGCTGTAGAGCAGTGGTTCAGTAGTCCATACACCACAGGTTAGCATGTCCCCTTATTTTAAAGCGCATGCTTAGCTCTCTATAGACAACCACGTTTTTTTACATCTGTACATCTGCAGTGTAGCAGTATAACTCCCATACACGTAGTGACGTATATACGACAAAGTCATACAAAATATCGGAGATCCGGCAGTGTAACAAGTACATTGCGTTCATATAGTCTGTTTGCCAATCGTATTGAAAAGTGCTGCAGTCACGCAGAAGGCTGAATTTACAGGAACAGATCTACTGCGGTTCAGAGTTTCAGTATCCAGCCTAGATCTTCAGCGCCGGCCATAGGGCTTTACTGTGCTGCCTGTTTATAGTTTAAGGGTTTCCGTGTAGTTTTTTAGGGGTCATTTCAAGGTCCCCGGCCAGAGAAGCTTTTCGCGGGGTTTAGGATTTGGCGTCGCTTCTGCACATTTTGATAGACGCACACGTTTTAGGTTTTAGGGTTTAGGCTTTAGGGTTCTACTCGACCGATCCGTATATGCACGTACATGAGTAGAGATGCATATGAATGCTCTGAATTGTTACAAGTGCGCATGAGCGTGGTTATTCAAGTGTGTGGGAGTGCATTCCATCGGTGGCACAGCAGGTGTACGTATGTGCTGTACACAGGCACAGTAGGGGGCGTAGCCAACAACAAAGACATCGTCGGCTGTTCGCCGCTCGTCTCCATCATGAAAATACAACAATTTGGCTCCAGCGGGACGGTCAGCACCTTCAGTCAAACTGGCAAACCACTGCTGCTGCTTCTGCTGCTGCTGCTGCTGCTTCTGCTGCACTTCTTTCCTGGCATTATCTGCAGCATTTCTATATCTTCGTCGGGGATCCATCCCCATGTACTTTTTTGCATGGAAGGTTTTGCAACACAACCTTTAGGAATTGTCGTCCGTGACACAGGGTTTTGGGGTTTAGGGTTTGGTGTTTATGGTATGCGCTACAGGGTTCAATAGGGGACGCAGTGCGGGGTGTGGCGTACGCGATGCTGCATGGTGTGGAAGTGATAAACAACAGCTGGGGTGCAACGGAAACGACTGATTCGTTGCAACTGTTGATGGAGAGGTCTCAGGCCATGCGGGGAGGGTTAGGGACCCTTATTGTTAATGCTGCAGGGAACAGCAGCAGCAACAATGACCTTCTGCCTTTTTACCCCGCAGGCTTCGACTACCCAAATACCATTTCGTGAGGCAGTTGCACCGTTTCTTTGGCAGTTGTCGTGTTTGGTGGACTTTGTTTCGTTGCATTTTGCTTGAGCTCATGTATTCCTTTATGTTTCATCGACACTACACGCCACACCATCCCTTTCTGATGTGGAGGGGGTACTATTGCAAAGCACAGCAGGCTTCTCTTTTATTTTGTCTATGGCTGGTTTTGTATCTGAATAAGTATTTCCAGTCTTTCCCGCGTGCTTTTTCTCCTGCCCTCTTC